TTTATTTAGGGTTTTAGGTTAAACATAAATTAATATTTATGCAAAACTGAAGTAGCTCTGTATTAGCTCGAATTTATTAAGTTTCTGTTTATCTGATTTTGTGTCTTATGTTTATCTAAACATTTAATATACAAGTGCAACTTCAGTGTTTCTTAAATATAAAAGACGAGATCAGAAAGTTTAGATAAATAATATTAACCATTTCTTTTCACTGACAAATCAGACAAATTAATTTTATCTGGCGTGTTAGTTACAACGTAGTTAATTTTAATGATTATTGTGAAGAGGCATACCACGTTTATAATGGGAATATGTTAAACTTGTCTAACTTAAAAATGTTTCTGTCAGATCCATATACATTTTAGAAAAACTTATGTATATTTTTCAACAACGTTCTTTGAACGTATTAAATAAAAGTAATAATATTTGACGTAAAACATTTGCATGGATATTTCTGTAAAACGAACCCTCGCTTTTTATGCAAATATTCATAAAGCTCTTAGAGAAATAACACTGGACAACAAAAAGTTTTTTACTGGAGAAAACTAAAGTGATTCAGGGTAGTTTGATGCTGCTGTTTTGAAAAACGTAGTCAGTATTTGTCCGTCGTCTCTAGATTTTGAGTTATTACTAGACAACCCGTGACCCGTTGGGTCACCCACTATTCAGAGGTTATGGAGAATTCAAGCTATTTTCAATATTGCACCGAAGTGAAGGTTTATTTTGAGATAATTTAATTAAATATTTTAATCCATTCGTGTTATTCATAGTTCAAGAAAAGATATTTGATTGTTGATCGGGAGTAAAAGGAAAGACCATTTCATTTTTCAAAAATGTGAAGTAAGATGTTTCGTAAAGCGCGCGAACGGTAGTGTAAATGATTATTTGACTGAGAAAATAAGCAAACAAACAATCTCATAGTTTTAGTAATATATAGAAAGATTTTGAAAAATCTTGTTTTTGTCATTTTACGTCTTTTAATGAAGATGGGAACATTTACAGGGAAATAATGTAATGGCCAATGCTCGGCGAGAGGTTTTCGTTT